AAAGATCCCTCAAAAGTACGGACTCTGACAGTCCGAGATAAACCAGCCTTTCTTGCCTTACCCATAGCTAGCAGTAGCCAAGATCTATAATGTACAGTATACACTCAAGTATTTGATGCTGTGACAGAGTAGTAAGGACTAGATGAACAGAAGTATTTGAGTACTGACGGCGGACCGGACGAGACTCGAGAGGCGTGTGAGCTTGTTGATGGATGCGGAGAACAGTGAGCGGCCTGAAGATACGGTGTCCCGAAGATACGGCGTTGTTTGATGGGCGTTTGGGCCAATTTGATGGCGGCAGTGGGCGCGGGAAGACGATGACCAAGGACTGATGGCGCACGGCTGACTTATTGATGGCGGAGTGATGACGGGGGGCGCGAGAATACGATGACCAATGATAATGATGGTGGGTGATGGGCGCGCAAGAAGGAACGTGACTACAGAAAGAAGTGATGGCAGTGATGAATGAATGAATGAATTCTATTTATACCGCCGGCAAGCCACTATGCAGGGCTAAGGGGCGGGGGTAAAGTAGTCTCTGTACTCTACTCCGTGTACGTATAATGGTGTGCGTGATTTGTGAGTGCGTGTCTTTTAGCGTTGTGTAGTAGAGCTTTCCTCGCAGATTTGTTGTGGCTTGTGTGATGGACTTGGTTACGACGCGAACTACTCCTGGTATCCATAGGTTGGTGGGTTTAATGGGGGTTTCGGGGTTTAATGGTGTTGGTTTGTGGCTCGTGTCCTATGTTTTGGCGGACTGTGTCGCGGCCTTGGGTGCGTTTCCCTCGTGTGTGTGCCTTGTCCTTCCAAGTTTTCTCTTCTTCTTCTTTGACCCTTTGTCTTCGTCTTCTCACTGCCCTCTTTTCTACTCCCTCCCTGCCCCGCTACTCCTCACGTGTATTCCCGCCCGTCTGTCCTTCTCCCCGTCCCTCTTCCGCCTGGTCCTCCAATGTTTGTCCTTCCCTCTCCATCCTCCTCCACCATGCTTCTTCGTCTTCTTCGTTTTCCTCGTCGTCTATCGTCGGTCTTTCTTTCTGTTGGGTTTTCTTTCCTGACTTTGTGAACGCGCCGGACTTCTCGAGGAATTTCGCCATGGCCTCTAGGCCCTCTTTTGTTCCGAGTAGTGTTCCTAGTTCCATTTCCGCGTCTACTGCCGTCAGTATATGTCTGTACGTTTCATACCTTGGGCACGTTTTGATGACGTGTTCCCTTGTCTGGTATCGTTCTCCACACGGGCATCTTGTGCTTTCTTCTGGTACGAACTTGGCGTAGTATTCGCCTATGAATGCATGTTTTGTCCTACATTGTGTGAGCCTCGCGAATACCTCCCTTGGCGTCCTAGTTACGTGTTCTCGAGGTTTCCATCTCGGCTGTAAGCGGTTAGCGATGGCGAATCCACCCGTTGGTGGCGTTTTCCGCCATTCCTTCCTCCATTTCTCAAGTGCTCTCTCCTTGACTCTCCGTTTCGCGTTTGTCAGCGTGTTGTATTCGGGTGCCCACAGTTCTGCGCCCAGTTTTGCTTCTTCGTCTGCTCTTTCGTTGCCCTCGACCTCTACGTGTCCTGGGCACCATCCTATTTTCATCGTCCTGTCGTCGTATTCCTCGAGGAATTCGTCGATTGTCCGCGTGATGTTTTTCATAAGCTTTTGACCTGGTTTTGGTTTTGGTTTGTAGGCTGCTGTGACTGCTGATGTATTGTCAGCGTAAATGCTAATGTTCTTCACTTGCCTGTGTCGCTTCGAGTACTGCGTGGCCGCTTTCGCTGCCTTAGCGATTCCTACTAACTCGGCGTCGTATACTTCCGCATTGTGTCCCAGTCCTCCTCTCTCCGCGAATACCTCCCGTCCTTCTCTATACCCTACTATTCCCCATCCCACAATTTTCTTGTCTCCGTCTGGTTGTTCCTCTTTCATGGATCCGTCTGAATACACTACTAGTTGTGTCGTGTCATTCGTTAGTGTTCGCATCTGTTCGTTATGTTTTTCTGCTTCCTCGGCCTTCTTGCATTTGGCAGGGGCTCCGGTTATTGTGAGTCTTCTCCCGTAGTCTCTCGCTGTTCTTCGCCATGGCGGTGCTACGAATGGGTCTATCTTTTCGCCCGCCATTGGGTTGTATGTCCTCTGCGTTATCCTCACTAGTTGTGTCGGCTTCGTCTTTTTCTGACTCCTTGACTTCCGCTTGGATGGTAGTGGTGGGGGGTTGCTTGGCGGTTGTCCCTCTCGCCATGTTTCCGGCAGTCGTTCAATTATCGGGCTGGTGTTCTTGAGCCTGTGTAGTCTGTTTGCGTATCCGTCCACGGCCAGGTCCAGTGTGATGTCCAGTGGCGGGATCGCCATGTCCGTTTCCAGGGCCTTGACCGGTGTGGTTCTGAATGCTCCCGCCATGTGTCGGAGTGCATTGTTCTGTACCTTAGTCAGCCGTTCCGCGTGAGTCTTTTTACCTGTCCACCAGATGGGCGCCGCATATGTCATGATAGGTATTACGCATGCTCTGTACATCGTCCTCAGTTGAGACTGGCTCACTCCTCGTATTGTGTTCGCCAGTATGTGCGCTCCTGCTACTGCGCTTCTTGCCTTCTGTGCCATTTTCTGCACGTGTTGATTGAACGTGAGCTTTCTGTCGATGTGCAGTCCTAGGATCCTGATTGTCTCCATGGGTCTGATCACTGTGTCCGCGCCGTCTGGCATGGGTAATCTGATCGTTGGGGCGTATCCGTGGTCTTGCCTCCAAGAGTGGTGCATTATTTCCGTTTTTTCCGGCGCCGTTGATAGACCTACTTCCGTTAGCCATTCATTTATGAATGTGAATTCTTCCCTTAGTATCGATACGTTCGTGTCGAGTGAATTTGAGGACACGACTATGGAGCCGTCATCGATGTACATGTATAGTGTCGGTGCTGTAGCGCCGTTCTGTTGGTTAGCTGGTCTTGGTGCTTCGTCTGTGCCACGTCGTCTTGCCTCCATCATTTCCAACAGTTTGCTGCCATATATGATCGACAGTATTGGGGAGACTGGTGAGCCCTGTGGTATGCCATTCTTCACCGGTTTCATACTGCTTCTTGTGCCATCTAGGCATACCGCCGCTTGTCTATCGCTGAGGAATGATGATACCCATTTGACCAGCTGTAGTGGTATCCCCTTCCTGCGTAGTTCTCGTAGAAGTCTCGCGTGGTTCACGTTATCGAAGAACCCTGATATGTCAAACGTCAGTATTGACGTCACTTTACCGTGGTTTCTTGCCGTTTGTATGTCATCTATATGCGTCAGTAGTGCGTCGCTGGTTGAGCTGCTCGGTCTGCCTCCGAACTGTGTTGGCGGTACTAGATCCTCTCTCCCCACCAAGTAACTGATCCTTCTGGCTACGATGCTCTCCAGTACCTTACCCATGCACTCCAATAGCTGTATGAGCCTGTATGCCCTGGGTTCGGAGTAGTCTGGTTTCTTGGGTTTTCGTAGGGCCACTGCAATTGCCTTTCTCCACTGCCTCGGGTGATGGCCGGTTTCTATGCATTGGTGCATGAGTGCGAATATTGTGTCCTCCTGGGTTTCCCATGCCCATCGCACCGTGTTGAACGGTTGTTGGCTTACCCCCGGGGCCTTTTTCACACTGTGCCTGTATATCGCTTCCTTCACTTCTGTTCGGGTTACCCTAACGTGTTCATAGTCGTGTTCCTGTACTTGCGTCAGGTCTGGTCCTACGTTGTTGATGGCAGTGATGAGATTAGGTACTTATCTACAGTCTCTCCTAAGGGAATATCTGAAGAAATATTCATCGATATTGCCAGTGGCGGGTAACTGGAATATCCGGGCTAATTAGCCACATCACGGGGGGGGTGCCTGACCAGCCTAACTAGCCAAGCATGGTGTGAGGGTCAGGTGTAATTGTCATCTTGTCAATATTCATGGAACTTTTAAATTTTCTTATGCATTCACGGTTGGGTGTATTCAGGACGAAATGTACTTAAAATTGCTATGTTTTGTGATATTGATGAAATTCTGCAAGCATCGGAATCTCACGCCTTGTGGTACCTGAAGTTCCGTCTCACTTGGTCCTCACTGGAGGTCCCTTCATTGATCTCGTGAAAAGGTTATTTTGACAAATATTAGGGAGGAGCATCTCTCTGCCTGGGAGTCGAACCCAGCTTTCGCGCGTTTGCAATCATCGCGATCAATACAAGGCATGACAGGCGCGTGTACTAACCGATATACTAGCAGAGAATTGATTATAAGCATAGATTCTGTTCACATAGCCACCAACCTTTGACGCCTATGACGGCGTCCTCTACGTAATTGATCACATTTACTCCTCGCTCATCCCTCACTTAGCGCGGCAACATGCCTACGGCCCTCGTCATCGGCGCGTCCCGTGGTCTCGGATACGAGCTCACAAGGGTCCTCCACGCAGATGGCTACCGCACCTTCGGAACGACGCGCGCATGCGACACCCAGCTCCCGCCTGGCGTCGAGCGCATCAGCCCCATCGA